TTACTTACTTACTTACTTACTTACTTACTTACTTACTTACTCTCCCAGCCTTCTGCAAAGCCACGAAGACCTGGCTGCTCCGGCAGGCTGGGGGGCTGTTGAAATAGTCAGCCCCAAGGGAACTATGAATGTTGTGTATTTTAAATTGTTGTTTGTCTTTTGTCTATTTATCCCCTTCCTTTGTTTATTGTAAGCCGCCCGGAGTCCTTCGGGAGTGGGCGGCATACAAGGCCAATAAATTGAATTGAATTGAGCATTAACAATACCATTCCTCCCCAGGGTTTATGAAAATTTCCCATGGCCAACTTGCCATGACTGACTTCCCTTGGCCAGCTCACCATGACCAATTTGCTGCAGGACAACTTGCTGAGGAAAAGGAATTACATTAATATCAAAGAAATCGTGGAATAGAATCATTAAAGAAATGGAGGGACAGAATTAAATGTGAATTGCAAAAATTAAAATATTTATTTTATTTATTTTAAATAATTAAATAGAATTGTTAAATTGTCCCACAGCAAATTGTCCTACAGCAAGTTGGTTGTGGTGAGTTGGCCACAGCAAGTTGGCTATGGCAAGTTGTCCCATTCCACCCTCCCCACCACCCCCACCCCATTACTAGCAAAAGGAGCCAGAAAGATTGAGGACCACTGCTTTACAGCACGTGTTGAGCAGTTTACAGAGTCAGCATATTGCTTCCAACAATCTGGCTCCTTATTTTATCTACATTGGAAGAAGACTGGGTCAATGTTGAGCCAGTCAGGATTGAACTGAGGGGCCCACGTGTGTTTCTCTTGCTTGTTTTCTTGCAGATGTTTCATTACCCAAACTTGGTAACATCATCAATGCTAGTAAAGAGATCCCTCATGTGCCCTGAGCTACAAATATTCTCCTTTATCAGGATGAAACTCCTAACAGTAGGCAGAGTTAACGTGCAATACTACATTCATGGCTCCTTTTTACCATTGCCATTAAGAACTATCATAATATGTTACATGACTACAATTTTGACATATATTCAAATTCAGAATTAAAGAAATATACACATGTAGCAGAAACCAGTATCAGCTTTCCAACCATAGCATATTCAACCCATCTTTTTGGGTTCATGCATTGTTGAGAAACTATTTTTGCTCAAAATTACAACATTATTATGTACCACCCACAGGTGAGGTGGGAGGTTACACAAATTTGATAGATAAATAAAAAATATATGGATCTGAGAACTGGACTAGGCTAAAATGGAGTTCCCTAAATTTTTGTCTCAAGAGTCAGGTACACAAAGCTAGTATGTTCTGCTTTTTTTTTTATGTATCAGATTAGGTGATAACCTGGCATTGCCTGGGATTTATTTATAGGGGGAAAATGTCTGGACCAAACGTAATTTCTAAATGTTGGATTTTCCCCTTTACCAGAGGGAGCCCTCTTGTGGAGTACTGTGAAGCCATTACCATGGCAACTCCACTGCGCTGTACAATAGAAGTCATTTTAAGCCAATTCAATAGGTTGTATCATAACAGAAACCACACCCCAAGAGGTGTTAGGAGTGTCTTACCCCAAAGTATTTGTTTCCATAGAGTAAGTCATCTGTTTACTAAGTTTGGTTGAAATTGCTTGAGGCATTCCACACACACACACACACACACACACACACACACACACACAGTGCCATATATATATATATACATGTATTTTCACATTACTGATGAAAACAAAACATAGAACATAGCAAAACATACACCTTTGACCATACATCAGTCTTATGTAGCCTGATGTTCTTCAGACTGTTGAAGTATAATTCTCACTAGCCCCAATCAACACAGCCAATAGTCAATAAAAACAAGGGCTGTGGTTCAATATATGGAGACCTACAGTATGTACTGGGAAATAATGTAGCACCCCAGCTTTGCTTTTCAAATTCATATTCAAGAATAATATGCATAAAGTCAAAGCATCAATGTTCTATTTATCTGTAATTCCCGAAGGCATAAACAAGAGCAATAGATGGTGACTCACTTGTTATTTTTGCAAAGTTTGCCTTTGATTTATGAAACATATCTCGAATGCCCAGCTCCTTGAGAGGTCCTTTTAAATCTGTTTCTGCTTCTGCTGTAAACCTAGGGGAGCCATATGAAATGTATGAGAATGCCTGCAAAACTAGCAATCGTGGTTTTTTCCATTAAAATTAGAAAAAATTACATACTTGGGCAAAATGACCTGTACCCTCTTTTGAACCATAGTTGTCATCCAGCTCTGTATAGTTTTTGTGCTAATGTGAGGAATAATAGCAGACAAGGGAGTTGAACTTTGTGCAGGCAAAGCAATCAACATGCTTATACTTTCACCGTGATATGGCAATTCTATAGTATTATACCACAAGTCATTAGGAGTGCTTGTTGTGCCTATAAAATAGGAAGTAAATAAAAATACTTTAAAATACATATGGATTGGAATCATGTAGTGTTATTCTCAGTCAGCCCACAGATGTGGACACGTGGGGGAGGCAATATAAATGCTACTTTTGTACAAAAACTTTGTATTTTGACAAGATCAAATGGATATGAAATGCAGGTGGTAAAATCTAAGAATAGAATGGAGGAGAAAGCCTAAGACAGTGTTTCTCAACCTTGGCGACTTTAAGTCCTGTGGACTTCAACTCCCAGAATCCCCCAGCCAGCGTTGGCTGGGGAATTCTGGGAGTTGAAGTCCACAAGACTTAAAGTCGCCAAGGTTGAGAAACACTCGCCTAAGAGAACCTAATTGGGACATTTAAATCAGCAATGTCAGAATGGTTTATTGGTTTCAACACCACAGACTAACATGTGAACTATGCTAATCAAGATCAATTTACTCTTCAAATTTGCTTCCATGATCAGAAACAAAAGCTACCACCAGGAAGAACCCAGATATTTACAGAATTAGACGACAGGTAGCTTTCAACTTACGACCACAATTGAGCCCACAATTTCTGTTACTAAGCGAGACATTTGTTAAGTGAACTTTGCCCCGATTTATCACTTTTCTTGCCACAGTTGTTAAGTGAACCATTGCAGTTGTAACAGGATAGTTAAGTGAATCTGGGTTCCCCATTGACTTTGCTTGTCAGGTCACAAAAGGTAATCTCATGACCCCAGGACACAGCAACCGTCATAAATATGACTCAGTTACCAAGTGTCTGGATCTTGATCACATTACCACAGGGATGCTGCAATGGTTGTAAGTGTCATAAATGTTCATAAACCTTGAACAGTCACTAAATGAGCTGTTGTAAGTTGAGGACTACCTGTATTGCTATAATATTCAGTATGACTTTAGTCAAAAGTTTGATATGATTGTGCAACTAGAAAAAGTTTTAGCATTGGATCCCCTACCAAAAATATTAACTTATACATTGTCCATTCTTTCATTACAAAGTATACAGGATTTGATGTCAGGAATACATGTTTCATAACAAAGGCAATGACAGTATCTTTATAATGTTCAAAGATGCTGAGGAGATAAGAGAAGACTCCAAATGGACGTGTAAACCTCAAGAGAATGTGATTACCTTCTTGGATCGGGATGCTCTGTGCACAGTCACTCATGCCCTCGTCCTTTCTCGCCTGGACTACTGTAACACTCTCTACATGGGGCTGCCCTTAAAGAACACCCGGGGGCTTCAACTGGTCCAGAATGCGGCTGCACGGGTTATCATGGGGGCACCTAGGTGCTCCCATGTTACACCCCTTTTAGGCGGCCTGCACTGGTTGTCGGTTTTCTTCCGGGTGCGATTCAAGGTACTAATTATGACCTTTAAAGCGCTACCTGCGAGACCATCTACTGCCACCGTTAGCTTCCCACCATCCAGTGCGATCCCACAGAGTTGGCCTCCTCAGGGTGCCGTCAGCCAGACAGTGTC